TAAACGTTCACTTTAAAAAATATTTTCAGCAAGTAAAAGTTTTGATTAGGTCCTTGAGTCCCCAAAGATGTGGTATTGCAGAAAGGTCTGATTATTATTATAATTATATTGACAATTTAGAAGCAAACCCGTCTTTCAAACCTAGTTTCTGAGTCATGCAAGAAGGACATATTTGCAGCTTGTGAAAGGTGTGTATTGCTCCTGTGCTATACATACAGTCACTTTGTGGAAAAAACAGGCTCATAATAGTCTTTAAAAAAAAGCCACATAGCATCGTGAGTAGATAACGGATAAAGCCAGAAGAGAATAACTCTGTTGTCGTTGGATATTGTACTCAACCTGAAAATTTCATGGTAGAAGGTGCTGTCAAGGAAGTGAGTGCTCAGAATTGAAAGGTCCACAGTCCAATAAGAATAAAGAAACTAACCACAAAAGACATTTTCGAGAGGAGTTCCTTAGCCCTATAACTGAAACTGAAATACATTTTGGCGTGCACAGGATTTGAGACAGGTACGAATTTGAAAGCTATGAGAAATATGGTCGAAGCTGTCACACAATTGCGAATGAAACACACGGGGAAATGTTCCAGCAATATTACAGACTTGGAGACCGTCACCTACAATGTGAGTTTGTTGTTGGTCACACTGACAGCACTGAATCTATGAAAGGGACAAGCTGTTCTCGCGGACAGAAGACCAATAGATATTACTTGACTGTCGATGGAATACCGCCATCTGTATGACAACATCAGCTGAAACTATTGAAGTAGACAAAAGATGATGATGCCCAACAACTGTCAAAGAAAGAGATGAAAAACTTCCCACCCTTAATAATGCTCATATTGCGAGGTTCCCTGCTGTTGACTCACATCACTACTGTAGGTCAGTTTCGAGTTAAAAGGACTTGTTCTCAAACCTGAACTGAAGAGGAGACAAAACAAAGGCTGAACAATCGTATCCACGGAAAAGCCAAAGTGAGAAAACTTAAAGAAGATGCTTTCAGGGAAAATATAATCATAAACTGAAGTGATATTAAGGAACAGACTCAACAGAGACTATTCAATAACTATTTATTTCCTACAAACCCACAGTTCCAAACGGTGACCTTTAAGCCCCAGAAAAATCAAGTCAAAGACGTTCCATTGAACAGCCTAAAAAAACTCCCACCTGTAGCCAAGTACACTTTTCATCAAACTGGGGGAACACACATTGTTCTTTTAACTTTGCCACTTGTAACTTATAACAGGCTACCACTTGCACTGTGTTTTCCCATTGAAGTGCCTTTCCAGATCATTTTAATCTTTTTTAACAAACGCTTGCGCAATATTTCATTGATAAACAAAGTACAATGTATTATGTGCTGAAACGTTTATAAGGTATTACACAAATTCATTACACATGCTCAGAATCTATCTCTCTACTTATATTGTTGTTGTCTAAGGATGGTGCACAGTCCTGAAAGAAAGGATCTGTGCGGCACTAGTAATTTTATACTCATTGTTTTGTGCAAATTCTGCATAATACCTTGAAGACAAGTAAGAAAGCTTAACTCTTTAAGTCATTTACATTTCATATCGTGGAGACCCCAAATCTGTTTCATTTTCTTTTCCTTGTTGTTTTTCATTCCCGAAAATAGATCAATTTGGCATATTGAGTTGATAAACCTGTTCAATAATCAAGAAAACAATCCCTTTTCTCTTATATTCTATTACCAAACGATGTGGCATATTGTCAATCTTGTGTCTTTACGGACTTAATTATATTTTCACAAACAGGCGTATCAGCTATTTTAGACCATTTCTTAAAAAACTGATGACGCAATATCTATAACCATTATAGGGAATGATAAATTGGTGGTTGTACTAATATCTTGCCAAAAAATTTAAACGAAAAAGCAAACGGTTATGCCACAGCAAGAATTTAAAAAGGGTCCAAAACTTTGAAACGCTCTCCTGAAAAATGCCAAGAATGCCCTTACGCCCTTTTGTGAGATGGGCGACGACATGCTCTGGTCTCTGATTAGAGAAGCCAAGGTTTGAAGACATCTTACGGTATCTACTTTAGCTTATTTTCTTTTTTTTTTTTTATAAACATTTTATATGCAGGCTACATGATGTGAAAACATGACAAATAATTTAGGCTAAACTTTTGTAACTGCATGTTCATTGTTCATGATGTGGGTAGCTGACAACTCAAGGTAATATAACAGTAGAAAGCTGGTTTGCTACATGAACTTTACGAAGAAATTTTACTCATGTTTCATTTATGAATGCCCCACTTTTACTTTAGCTTAGTAAGAATTTTACAGCACTCAGAACTGCATAAGGTCATATGAGTGAGCAAAACAAGTCGGTTGCATTCACAACAGTTCACTGCACGATTTGATTTTGGTCAATATTTCTATTAAAATATTAAAATGCCCCATTTTGATACAAAGTTAACTTTCATACAAGAAAAAGCAAAGTGCTCTTTGACTAGATATAATAAACATTTTTTTTCATCCACTCTGAAATCTACACCACTGATATATCATGTATTACAATGTAACCTCACTAAGCATTTTTTCTCATACAACAACAACAAAAAGTCTATTTGATATTCTTTTAAAAATTCATTGACTTAGTAAGGGTCTCTGAGGGCTTGGAAAAAAATCTCATCAACCTACATTACAAAACAAACAAAAAGTATGAACCTTTTGTGGTGTTTTCTAAAAGTATCCACAAACTAACTAAACACAAAAAGATGCTTGCATGGGTACACTTAAACATACTGAGGTAGTTGTACGCACCACAAAATACCTTGATGTCTCTGTCATAAAAAACATGAGAGAAAAACTGAATATGGCTTTAAATAAATCAAATTAGACTACTACAAAAATAGTAAGTGGCGTGAAATTTTAACTGAGTTATCAAAGTCTACTGAGAAAAAATGCCACCAGGCCATTTATCAATCAATGTCCAATAATAACAACTTTTCTTCAAGCTTCAAAAGTGATAGAATAGGGATTTAAAATGTATGACATGTTTACATAAATTCCAAAACAGAATACAGTAAAGAGTCACTCACAATGAAAGAAAAATGTCACTCAGAATCATCGAAACAAAGATCATTCAAGAAAGCAGATTCAACATTAACATAGACAAAAATCCAGGAGGAAAAATAAGCGTGAGCAAATTGATGATTCCATACAACACTGCCAGTCAATAATCTTTTTTTTTAAATCAAATTTTTGATTCCATCAACTAGTTAAACTGGTCTTTGGAATACAAACCCAACTATTTTCAATTTATTTTGGGGCTTAATTAAATGATAGCATTAAAAATGATATGAACATGTTCTGAAATACATAAAAACCAATGATTCCACCAAGACAGTTTCAGAAAAAGGAGCATAAAACAAAAAAAGAGATTCATGCACTATACAACAATATATGTGGTTTGTATCTCTCCATAGCATGAAATAATGTGGTACTGTATGACAGATTTGAATTATATAACAATGTCCAAGGCCAACATTTAAGGCAGATAACCAACAATTTGTTTTAAAAGAAAGCGATATAACTTATTATCACAATGAACGTGTGGAGGCATTAGAGACAAGTACAGAATTTGCATTTTAGAGAATGAAATGAAAACAAACTGTTATTAAACAAGGTATATTTTGAATCTGTAAGAGAAGAAATATTCAGACTCAAAAGCAGGAAATGTTCAGAAAATTCACTTTAACCTTTAATTTCTGTAACGAACCAAATTATGTGGGATTTTTATTGTTTTTCTAGTCTCACTTATTACTTTAGAGCTACAGCAATAAAAAAAGAAGTTATGACAGTTGTAAAAAAGAAACATTTAATTATAGTTTTCTCCTGAACATAAAAGCTTTCTGCTGCCATTCTCCACTGGGGGCAAAATGGGTCTGGGACAAACAGATAGCCTACCCTGTGCCTGGGGGCGACAGGGGCTTGTTACATTTATGTCACTGTCTGCAACCCTATTAGTCTTTATTAACATGAAAGATGGAATCCTTTTTTTTAGTCAAAATAAAGATTATCAGAATATCAGAGTTTTTGTGGGGGGTTTTTGTAAGTGTTTTACAACGCTAGCAACTGCATAAGGTCATATGAGCGAGCGGGACATATCAAACCTTTTCAGTTGGTAAGAAATTTTGAATTTTGCCCTGGTGGCGGCCGAAGCCTACTCTTATCGATTTTAGACCACCAAGGGATCTTTAACATGCGCAACCTGCACACGGGCCCTCCGAGATTTTTCGCCCTTGTCCGAGAAAGCTGGGAGTAGATCTTTCCAACCAGAAGATCACGGGTGTGGCTGAAAGACAGCAGTAAGAAGAGGCCAAGGAGTAGCAGTAGAAAGCCTGCAGAAAGAGTCAGGAGCCTAGAAGAGAGGTAAAAGGAGGTGAGGGGAGGGGGCAGAAAGTGGAAACGAAAGCAGACGAAAGAACATTATTAGAGAGCAGGAAAGGGGGTGAAAGGAGACAATTTTAGAGAACATAAATTTTCGGTTGTCATCCGGATTTGAACTCGGAACCTTTGAATGAGAGGCCAACACCTTAACCTCTAGGCCACGAGAGCCCCCATATCTGAGTTTGAAAATATGAGACATTAAGAATGATACCAAACATAACACATGTAGAAACTATGGGAAGGATAACTTTATCCTGTATAGGGTTTCTTTAATGGGAAAGGCACACAGTATGCATACTCACTGTAGGCAGATAAACTACTTTTAAAAACTCATTTATTAAACAGAAACATAAATCTTGAAAGTTGAAGTAAACATTTCTCACATCGGTATAATGACCGAAATATTCCTATACTTGGTTCTACGAGACATTTGGTTCCTTTTCGGAGTTCGACACTGTGCTCAATCAAAATGTCTTGGTTTAAGTAGGAGTTTTACGGCACTTGCAACACAATAAGGTCATATAAGTGCCGAAGACTAGAGGTGTTACAAGAGAGTAACAAACAAAAAAAAGGAGGAGAGATAATGACGACAGATGTTTGATAGGAAAGAAGAAGCAAACAACACCAGAGCACCCGCCAACCACCCACTATCAATCAAAATGTCTAAAATTGTAGACACCACTGAATCACAGACATGAACAACAAGAAAAGAATGGTCATTAATTGTTCCATCACACTTCTAAGACGTTTTTGAAGGCAAGGTGAGTCATCTGCTTGGCAAATTCAGTCATTGCTGTCACATGATGGTAGAACTCGGCATCATTTCCATCATCTGGCCCACAGAAGAAAAAAATAATTGAGCATTTTTTTTAAAAGGTGAAAATTTATAATGTGTCATTTTGTGAGAGAAACATAAAAAATCTGGCTTAGGTCAAGTAAATGTTGAAATATCTTATCTCACAGCAAATAATATTTCCAACCATTCTAATTATATCCCTATAGAATCTATTTATCTGGTGTGCGATAGTCATCTACAAAATGTCTTTTTCATTTTGAGTTCCACATTCATTTCTCCTTTGCATTTGAAAGGCGCCTAGCATTGGTAAAAAACACTATCCAAAGTTACCATACCAGAGACAGTGTCCATATTATCTGACTTACTGAGCAAACACAAATACGAGCATTCCACTGAAAGCCCGCCCAAAGATGGAATTAAACAAATGAAAACTGGAACAACATCAAAGTATGGAGTAACCTTTTGTAAACTCATTGATTATATGACTCTTCACTGTAATGCATATCTTTGTCACAATTCACAAAGTCAAAGATACAAATTTTATGTACTAACATTGTGAAGACATAAAACAGAAGGTATAAAAATATGTTTCATCTCAAATACCCTATTGTATAACTTGATACTATTGCTCTGAATGGTATGTGTAAGTAAAGAGAAGCATATCCACATGATACCAGCACTTTGAGGCAGAAATAAGTAGAGTAAGACAAAAGAGAAACAACAGGAAAGGGGTCTTTCGATTTTAAAGAAAACTATGAAAGCCTTATCAGAATAAACACTGATAAAGGAAGATTTTCTTACTGTACAGACAGACATTGTTTTAACTTGCTACATATATTATTATGATTGTAAGACCATCAGTTTTTATTCTACCAAACTGCCTTAACACTCTCTTGGTTATACTAACACCGAATCAACCTTAGAAATGTGATCAAAACAGTCATAGAGCATAAAATCAGACATCAGGGCTTTTATTCTACAAGACCGTTGACCCTAATTGGTTGTCACGTTCAACCATAGTGAATCAAGTCAAGCGCTGGGTGCAAGCCTCTGACAAACGCCAAATCGCATAACAGCGTTTGTCTGTCTTGCACCCACTGGCAATCAAAGTATAAAACACCCACCAGAGTCTATGAACTCATGAGTATCCAGAATCAGCTCTTTGAACGTGTCAGAAATCCTGCAGAGCAACAAGAGTCTGTCCTTCCAGTTGTCAACCACACTTACAATACGCTTGAGCATCACCATCACCTGAGACATGCCCGAGTTGTTACTGTGCTTAACACACACCTGGGGACACACATGAGAAGGTCTTTTCAACTGGAATTTGAGTCAACCCCAGTCAGCCCATATCACATCAACAGGGAGTAACGAGACAGGAACAAAACTTGATTCTTCCATTAGCTTTCTCAAAAATGTATAGCTCTGAGGTCAACAGATATAATAGGTGAATTATTGTGTGGGTTTAAATAAAGCACCTTTCAAAACTGTAAGGTCTTTCAAGAGTCAAGACCTCTGAAACAAACATCAATCTGCATGCGGAACACCTTGAAAATTTCTCTAACAATCCAAGTTCAAAAATGCTCCATTGGAGATTAGAATCAGTGTTATCCGCACCATAGCTCAGCATGAGCTCTGAGGGAATAAACATTGATATAATATCAACTGGAAACAACAAAAAGAGAACTGAAAAGTTACATCGAGCCAATCCCATTATATGGGTGCGAAGCATGGACAATCAATAAACAGCTGGAAAGAACAATTGTGGCGACAGTTGTGGTTCATAAGAAAATGCTATGTATCCCAAGGACTGCTAGAAAAACAAATGAAGAAGTCTTAGTTGAAGCAAATTGCAGAAGACAGCTTATGACGAATAAAAGAAAGCGACAGGCAAATTTCTTCGGACACACAATGCAGAAAGAAGCATTGGAGAATATTGTAACAACAGGCAAGAATGAAGGAAAGAGAGGCAGAGGCAGACAGAGGGAAAAGGTACTGGACAAGATGACAACATGGCTAGGAGCAGCAAGAACAACAGACACCATTGCTGCAACGCAAGACAGAGTGAAGGTCCATGATCGCCCACGCCAGTTAGCAAGGCACCGGATGATGATAATAATGTCAAAGTCCATTTTCTGATTCACATTATCACTTTGAACTCTGGCAAGGAGTCATCAGCTTACCAAACATAGAGAGGCCACAATGCTTGCCACTTCGACATATCTTCCGTTGATAGCTCTGCTAGCCAACATCTTGGTTGCCATGGGTTCACCACAGGCAAGGAGAAGACCAGCAATATTTTCGACCAACCAATCCTCAGGAGTGCCTGCAAAGAGAATGAAATAAGTTCAGAATGTACCATCACAGAAAAAAAAAAATGTGTCTTTTTAATAGAACTGGAAAAAAATATGAACATGATGCAAACAACCCTATTCTACACCTACATCACCCAAGAGATCAAGGTATGGATTGGACATGCCCTTCACATTTCCTCCCAGCAGGTTACTACAAATGTCCACTTGGCCATGAGTGAAAAAGAGGAAGAAAGAGAAAAACCAGCAGAAGAACAATAGAGATGGAATTGAATTATAAAACTGCAGAGACAATCCTTTGAGAACTGGGCAGGACTGTCCAAAGACTGCCATTAATGGCAAACTTTATGACATTCAAAGACAAATAAGAAATAGTTCAAAGAAATACTGAAATGCAGGCAAAGCTGCTCGATCGACCACTTGTCCAAGACAATCACTAGTACAAATGACCATTTCCCATTTCCCCCTTGCATTTTTTCAAATATTTTAATTACACGCTGTTCAAAACGTCTAGCTGCCTAAGACAACCTTTCCTTTTACCAAAAACAAATATGGCAGGTAGTAAAACGGAGAGAAACAACTATAGAATTTTCCCCTACTGATCATTTCATCGATGAGGCAGATAACTTCATCACTAGACCACTCAACGCTGTGCATGTAGAGAATCTGCAGAATGCTGGAAACGTTGCCAAAGTACTGTGTGGACTGCTCCAGATCCGACGGAGTGTTCTCGCTCATCTCGTGCCACTGTATCTCTCCTCCTGGGGATCAGAACAACACAGTCAAACTCACGACCATTTTTCTTTTGCTTTTACTTCTCCTCCTCTTGTCTTGTTTTTCTTTCTTCTTTTTTTCTTTTGCTTCTTAGTCTTTCCTCTACTACTTTAAAAATGCATTTGTAAACGTTTAGAGTCCCCTATTTAGATTATTTAGGAGGTAGGTTGCTTTGAGCCAGTCTGTAAGGGTCAGCATGAGCCAGTCTGTAAGGGTCAGCATGAGAAAAGTTACTTTATAATAGAGTATAAGTGACAATGATTTAACATAAGTGACTGGCATCTGGGTGTAAAAAGGAAGGCTCTTTACAGTTCTAGGCAGAAGAAGTGATTTCAATTCTCAGAAGGAGAAGTTATTTTGAAGAGTATCTCAGTCCACCTGTTGCTATTCTGTCTTCCATTTAGCAAAAATTGGCTCTGACAGTGAAAGGAAGAAGCAGCCAGCCGCTGAAATTAAAATGTGTCTACATGGGCGAAAATTATTTACATTTAATTTAAAATAAATTTTGCAAACATCCTGATAAAGAAATGGTGGTAAATGTTGAACTGCAGACTACGACCAGGAAGCACAAATCTAAAAATACACTTTCACAGGGTACTAAACAGCAGTAGGCATCTTCAAGCTATAAGTGCTAAAGCTACGTAAAGTTAATATGTGGGACTTCTTGTGTTAGGTTAGGGTTAGCTTCTTTTACATCTTTCCAGTAATATCACTTTCCCATTCTGTTCCTTATCATATGACTGTATTCGTGACAACTCTTCGCAAACTTCGAATCAACAACTTAGACTACACATAGGAAAACTGTTAAATATTGCTCTAGATGATCTCCACATCTAAAAAAGAAACCCTACCTGAACAGTGGCCAGAATACAGCAGGTATAGAAGTCGAGCCTGGAAAACAAGGGGCCAAGGCTTCAAGACACGAGTGATCCAAAATGCCTTATCTAAGACTGTGCCACATGGGTCCAAGAATATTCGACGGAAGAAATGACGAACTTTGACTTCAATGTGACTGTGCAACCCTGTAGACAGAGGGGGGAAAAATCGTAATAAACTCAGACAAGGGAGAAAGTAATAGAAGAGAACTTGGAAAAGAGGTAGAGGGAAAAATGTAACATTGTACATAATAATTCTTGACTAATGACAATAACAGTCTAGTACAGCATTTTCAAAATTACAGCAATATCTAATGCCTCAGTCAACCTAAAGCCAAGGTGAAATGGAATTTTCTACATTGATCAGATACTAAGATGACCTAATTCTTCTCCACACTGCCTCTTGACCTCCTGCACAAAAAAAAGAAGTAAAACACAGGTAATTTCAAAAACGGAGAAGTTCGCCCAACACGCTTCAAAGTTTCCACAATTTAAAAATTTCTAGAGAGGAGATACCTTCTCATTATGATGAATTTTATTTTAAAAGCTGTGTCAGATTAGTTGTAAAAAGAGTACAATAGGTGACACACTGCATTTATATAAAAGAAACTGCAATCACTTCAAACACTAATGCCTTTTGTTGTTCAAAACCTCTACACCCACATTTTGAAGTTGAGTTCATGAACCTTCTTAGGGAGTGCTTTTATCCACTAAAACTAATAATTTCCAAATCCCTACACAGATCAACAACTGAAGCAAACGTATATTCTACAAATTTGAAAAAAACAATAATGTGGAAGCTCAACAGCTTCCGAAACAAAAATAACAACTACAACCACATATATTGCCCAGGTGCATCCACTTATAACCACCCATCTGAAATATATTATATTGTAATAGCTTGACATTTTTTTTATGAAGCAGCATTTGCAGACTACCTGACCACCAGAACTACTCACCTGGTTTATTGGCCACCACAGCCTTGACCAGTCTGTGCACACACATGTGCTGACAGAGGCTGTCAAACACTCTCTGACACTCACTGTCATCCCAGCCCGCTATCACAGTGTGTAAGAACTTGCCGAAGCAGAGCAGAGCAATGCACCGAGACATATCTTTGCAGGTTTTCACATTTGAACATTCCATCTGTAGAGATAAGATACCAATAGGCAATACTCATTTTTAGTGAAATTTTTCTCATAAAAAAAGCATACACACATACTTACAACTGAAATAGCATACAGAAGACCTAACCCCCCGGGGCAGTGCCACTGACCAAAGTGTCTTTAGGCCATTCTTAAAGGGGGGACCTTTCTCGTTCAAGGATAGTAGAATTGTAAATGGGCTGACTCATGGCACACTCATGCCTAATCTACAACAGGGAACTGCTTCTTTTTTGTGGGTGGTTGGCGGGTGCTCTGGGGTGGTTTGCTTCTTCGTTCCTATCAAACATAGATCTATCGTCCTTTTCTCCCCTCCTTCTTTTTTATGTTTGTTACTCTCTTGTAACACATTTAATCTTCTGGCGCTCATATGACCTTGCAGTTGCGAGCGCCGTAAAACCTCTACTAAAACTAAAACTACAGCTTCTTTTTTTTCCCTGATCCTTACTATTGTCATTTTCCTCTACTTCTTTTGTATTTTTGTCACTCTCTTGTGACCTGCTATTTTGGGGTGCCTTGATAGTCGAAGCAGACCTTGTGCTGTTGAAGCTAGAGAGGTGAGCAGTCTAAGTCTGATTCCCTGTAAAGACTTCTCTGTTGACACCCACCCCTTGGCGATCATATGACCTTATGCAGTTGCGAGCACCGTAAAACCCTCTACTATAAAAAATACAGAAGACTTACATAGGTATATAGCAATTTCCCTTTCTTTCTGCCACTTCACTCCCTCCCCATCCCCTCCCTCCCTTCCCCTTTCTCTCAAGACAAATACATTTTAGCAGCTGCACAGATATCCAGAGAAACAAGCAAACAAATTGATTTTTAAAATTTAATCAAATCAATTCCTTGTTCCGAGATGTCAGTGAAGCAGAAGTGTCTCCTTTATAAGATCCCTGGGGATCACAAATAAGCAGCATCTTCAGACAATGTTTTCATATTCAAAAAGATGAAATTATCAACAATCTTGTCAAAACAATCTTTCTTAACATTACTGCCTCATTCTCTTTCTCTTTCTCTTTTTATTTGGTTCAAGATAAGGTTCTCCTAGATCACAAAATACTCCTTAATAAATCAATGTGGTACCAAATATTCCATAATAAATCAATGTGGTACATACCCGCGTTAAGAATTCATTTACAATTTTCAGCCTGTCTTTTGTTGCATAAACACATGTCGATCTCTTCATTAAAAGACCTGTTCACAAAAAAAAAGGAATGAATTGTATGAACTTTGTCAATACATTAAAGCCCCTAATGGTACAATACAGATAATTTTGGAAACAGGCTTTTTCAACCCAGTTAATCTGGATCAACCCAACCTGTGAGGGATACATCCCAGGAGAAAGCAACAGATACTTGAGAAACTATCATCCCCATAGTGAAAATGGACTCACATGTTTTGCACACAAGTCAAAGGGCCTTATCATTAAAATTATATTTATATTACTCTACAATATTATAAACACCTGTAAATAAAGAAGAATCCAATCAATGTTCAGCAGAAAGATGAAGCAGTGAAAAATTCAAAAATCTAATTGCGCTGTAATTTTTTAAAACAATTATACCAGAAGAGGTCTGTGCAAAAACTATGTTGGCATAAACTAACAAGAGGAAAGACAACCTGCCTGACATGCACTCCACACAGAAATGGCAGCTCAAGACTGCCCCTAATATTCAGAGTGAGAAACATGGTTTAAGGTAGAGAAGGGTAGACTTGGGAACTTTTGAGGATTAACACATCCTATTACAAGTCAAATCATCAGGAAGACTGGCAGCTTACAAAATTTTGGGCAGACAGTACAAAGAAAGTATGAGAAGGTTGACTTGACATATTTTTTCAACTACAACGTTTACACAACTTGAAAAAAAACACAAAACAAAATTTAACTTTAAATGACAGTAGCAAGCTTAACACAACCAGAAGAATACCAAACTTAGAATTTCGAAAAGGGGAGCACAGTAGTCTGTTCTTCAAATCAGTTGGCAACATAATTTGTCCTCCTCTCGCATTACAGGGTTGTTCATTTCACTTGGTATTGTAGAACACTTTACAGATATATATCTGCTTTTAATTTCCAGTGGCTTTTAGCAAGTAGACTTTAACATGAACGATAAGTACTTTACCCAGTTTATGAAATCTGCTTAACATCATGGCTTGTTCCTCAACTGACAATGAAGAATGTAGTTCCTCGTAGGGGATGCGGTGAGGCCCTGAGAATTGTGTCACCCGATATCCTTCAACCAGGTTCCTCATAGCCTTTGACGAAATCGTCAGAATGCTGAGATCTTCAACTGAGGAAAGAAACAACACTGCTTATCATGTGCACACGGTTTGAGTTCAGTCAAATAACTTTAGTCCATGCTGCTGTTACAGCTACAGTACAGAGGGAGAAATACCAACTTTTCCATAAGTGCTGCATGCTCCATGCCATACAAAGTGTTTTTATCATAAAATCTGGCAACAACAAAACTTGAATTTGAAGATAATGTGAGCAGATAATTTTCAGAGATTTGTGATTTATTATTATTTTTGCCTTGTTTTCAAAATTCCCCAATAGACTATAATACAAGGAGACTTACTTAAACAAAAAAAATCTTAAAATAGCTCTGTAAATTATTAATACTATATACAAGCACAATGCAAATATAGTACAGTCTACCTACAGCAGCAATACCTTTGGGTTTTCCTTGCTTTACAGGCAGTGTTTAAAAAACAACAACAAACAGGAGTCTTTTTTAAAATATGACAGAAAAAAAACTTGCTACTTTGCACCAAGGAGTTGGTTCAGCTAGAATTAGGTGTAAAAGCAAAAGACTGCAGTCATATTTGCCCTTCTGGAAAAGTTTGCATAGTCTCAGTAACAGAAAAAGAGAAGAGAATAAATTGAGTATTAAACTTTGCCCACTACAACTTACAAAGCACTTACAAACTCGGTGCTTCCACATCATGATCTAATTACAGTACAAAGACAAATTGTGTGAGCATAATATTATAAATACCATAAGTCAAAACCAGAGCACAGAATGAAAGACTTTTGTGTGTATGCGAGAAAAAGACTGCCAAGAATCCTCAGAGCCTTTGGTCTGACATGGGGTGAGCTGGAGAGCAAGGCATCTAGATGAGGCATGTAATGAGAGATCTCTTTCATGATAGCATAACAGATACAGTCAAATGTGTCCAAGACAGCCATCCATTGTTGAGGAGAAAAGTGGCTGTCTTAGACAGGCCGACATCTTGGTCAGTGTCATTTTAATATAGAAAAAATGCAAGGGTGGAAGAGGGAAGTAGTCATTTGTACAGGTGAATATCTTAGACAAGTGGCCAGAGCAAATTCCACTGTAAATGGGTTTTTTTTGGCAGGGAGTGGGAGAGAAGAGCTGATGATGAAATACACACATGAGTCATAGTTAGCTGAGAGGAAGCAAATAACAGCAACATTTTGCCAAGAACTGTAGATCAGGACAATTCTATTGTGGCAGTAAGAAAAGCAGAGGAAACAGACCATATAAACTGCTCTCCAACACTTGCCTCACATACAGAAATTATGGAATTATTTTTAAAAAACGCAAATACATATTTATGATATTATCACTACCTGATCAGTGCTTCTTTGTCACATCTCCATTTTTTTTAACAGTGAAAATATGACTTCTTCTTAAGCTAACTCTTTGTTATGAACTATCACTGTTCTAAAAAATGGAGATACGACAAGAAAGCACTGAGGTCACGAAATATTGAAATATCATTCTATGAAACTTAAAATTGAAAGAACTTTAGTTAAGCTAAAAATCTGTTGCAACAAACTGCAGTATTTCTAACCTGTGAGAAAGCGTAAAATTCTGAACTTGAGCTCAATGGGCAGGTAGTCAAAGTACCCCAGAATACAGGAATTCAACATGTTGACCTTGATTGTCTCCTCAAAGGCAGCTTTTTCCTTGCTATTGAGCCTGTCAGACCTCCTGGGTTTCTTGTTGGGCATATAATGTTTAATATCCATTTGGACGATTCCTTCCAATGCACTTGTCAGTAAATCCAATGCACTTGTGAGTAATGCCTGCAGAAAGATGTAAGAATCTTAGACAGCATAGTGGTTCACCAGCGCTATAAATTGTTTTCCAGTCAAATGGCTGCCCCAGCAACTACAGTATAATCAGGGAGAGTTTTCAGTTCGATCACGCTCTAATCCATGAAGAGTCTCGTTCTCTTAAATGTTTAACTTTCCCTTAAAGTATGCTATTTCAATTTGTGCAGAAAGCAGAATCTTAAAGGATAGATTAAATGGAAAGAAGCTCATGAGTTACGCCCAAGCCCAAGACTGACCATTATCAAAGTATTGCCTCTGACATCTTCAGTCAAGGTGCATGTTGTCACAAATCTCTAAATCTTCTTCCATTTGTTTTGATCTCACACCGTAGGCCAGCTACATTTCCTGAAACTGAACCCTTGTGTATACTTGCCATTGATCTCTATTTCTTCAGAAGTTTGGAAAAAAAAATTGTAACATTTATAATGGGGTGGACATAGTAGGCATACATAAAAACTTCCAAACGATTCAATTGCCACGCCTGACTGAGGTTTCACCTTCACCTATCCCGTCGGGGCAGTTTTGAAGATTTGGCCATCAGCTTCCTCCACTCCTTCCGGTCTTCAGCTTTTCTGAGCAAGTCTTTGAAATCCAGGCCTGTCCATTCCTTGATGCTGTTCTCCCAACTCTTTTTTAATCTGCGTCTGCTCCTTTTTCCCTGGAGGCTGCCTTGCAGGATCATCTTGGCAAGGCCGGAAGAATGGGGGACGTGTCAATACCATTGCAGTTTGTGTTTCCAGACCAAAGTGAGAAGGTCAGCATATATAGTCTTATTTCATATTTTATTTGTTGTTTGACTTCATCATTTGTGATGTGATCTTTGTATGAGACACCAAGGATTTTCCAGAAGCATCTCATCTCCACAGCTTTGATCCTTCTTTCAAGGTCTGCATTCAAGGTCCAGGATTCCCATGCATACAAAAAATACTGACATGACCAGGGAACGCATCAGTCTGATCCTTGATATGATCTGATGGTGATATTTCTGTCATTCCAGATGGATTTCAACTTGGTCATTGCTGCTGAAGTTTACACTATTCTGGAGATTATTTCTGGTCTTGATCTTTCGTCTGTCACTATCGCACCCAGATATTTGAAGCTGCGTACAGTCTCAAGCCTCTGGTTGTTGACCTGGATGTCCACTGTGATGTTATAGTTGCTGTAAGACATCAGTTTGATCTTCTCAGAGCTAATTTCTATGCTGTAGGCTGTGGAGGTTTAAGCTGACTAGATCAAGTTCTTGCTCCTGTCCCGCATGGCCGTCTATGTCGTCTGCAAAATTTAACGCAAGTTTTAAATCATTCTGCTCCCAATACTGACTGTTCCTTCGTGATCGTCAAGTGCATCTGCCATGATCCTCTAAAAGAAAACGTTGAAAAGAGTGGGTGAGAGCAGACAACCCTGGCGTACTCCCACTTCTCTGTTGTTCGGAACAATTCTAGAACTCTAGATCTAGGCCCTATATATATGCAGTGGAACCTGTGTAAGACAGCCACCCATTGTCAAGGAGAAAAGTGACCGTAAAAGACAGGTGGCCGTCTTAGGCAAGACTGATCAAAATGAAGAAAACGAACCATTTACTTCTGAGGTCCCAAATGGAGGTGGGAGCAGGTTTAGGACTGCCCTAGAGCTGATTCAATTACAATTTGCTGTTGTTGTTGTCGTTTTATTTCTTTTAAGGGGGGAGATTATAGGATGGTTTTTGTGGGACTGTTGTTGTTAATTGTGTTGGGGGTTTTTTTTTGGGGGGGGGGTTCAAAATGATAGCTCCAGGAAGGTCAAAACCTGATTTTAGTAACGTGCCAGCATCAGAGGTCCAGTTTTTTTTACTTTTTTGTTTGCTGAAAGTCACAGAGATTATTTTTCGGCCGGCACTATTTCTCTGAACGTTCGGGAAAATAAAGCTGGGCACTATTTCTCCGAACGTTCTGGAAAATAAAGCTGGGCAGTATTTCTCCGAACACTGAAGTGAAATCTCATCCTTTCTCGCAAATTTCGGATATTATATATAGATCTATAATTATAGTATAGGCCTACCAAAGCTTGTTCGTATACAATATGGTTCAAGCGGTCCAAAAAATGTCCGCAGTAAATAAAGAAATGCTACAATTCCAAACAGTTTTTCGCTACAGATATGGTCTGTTGCCTATGAAGGGTACTGCTCTTAAACGTAATGTGTTGTACAGTTGTGTTCACTCGTGTGCTGTCTAGATCTACGGAGGGTTATTGATAACGACACATAGAACTGGCATCTGCGTTTGTCACTGCTGCGACCAATGTACTGACACTGGCAAAGCCTCTTAATGTGTGTGATTCCATAATTTACATGTAATATCCTGTACTTTTTTTTTAAATACGCACATTTAGGTTTAAAACAGCCAATCTTCTTCGGACAGGTGGACACACGCCCTTATTTGTTAATGTTTGTTGTTGTTTATGGGCTGTTCTAATTTTGATTTCTTTCTGTTGTGAAACCTTTCTTTTTCACGTTTTTACACTCATCTAAAAATCTCTAGACTAGCTCTTGAAAATCGAAATAGATATAGACCCAAAAATTTGCTCCTGTGTGTGTGTGTGTATGTATGTGTGCGTGTGTGAGTGAGTCTGTGTGTGGTAGTAAGTGGAAAGTGAGGAGTGTGTGTGTGTGTGTGTGTTTGTTTTTCGGGCTTTATTTCAGCCTTTATTCAGTAACAGTTCAAAGTATGCAAAATAGAAACACAGGATCCATTCACTCCAGGGCTCATGAGTCGATCGTCTCTTTCAGTTTCACTCATTCATTCAATTCCCGTGTTCTCTCCCGCGGCTCATCCCTGTCCGCATGACTTTCATACCCCACCCCCTCCCTCCAGGCACACACAAAGAAAATCTCACTCATTCCCTTGCACCCTGCAAACCATGGACAATAATATAGGCAAAACACTGCCTGAGCTGCATTCCTTTCTTTCGTGAGCTGTGGACCAGGCCAGGGGGGTCGGTGTCGTCGTCTTGTAGTTGCTGTCGCCTGTGGATACACTCGCACATTCTTCCTTTCACCCGCTCTTTCACTCACACTGTCTCTCCATCCACAGCCCAGCTCGTCATACGTTCAAAAGTTGCCCGTTGGTCATGTTTAGTTAGTGTGTGTGCATGTGCATGATGGTGGTGGGTGTTACTGAAGGTTGTCTGTAGGCGGGCTTGCCATGCGGTGTTCCTTCCCAGATCAGAGGCAGAATGAAAGTTGGGGCCGAACTCTCGCAATAAATAGGCAAAAAATCACGAGACCGGAAGCCGGAAACCGTTCGGAGAAATAAAGATCGGCACTATTTCTCCGAACATTCGGAGAAATAGTCACTTCGTTATTTTTATTTTAAAAATTTTTTTTTTTACTGATGTGTATTGTTTTCTTTTCCAAATACACAACAAATTACTGATACTGAATGTTCTGTTTTCCATTTTTCTGTACATAAAATATGAAAATCAGGAAACTTGGTGTTGAAAAAGTGCAGAACATGTCGCGAATGGTGTTACGGTAACTTGCATAATTTTTGCATAATTTTGCTTCTTTTTTTGCAAAATTTGGCCTTCTAAATTTGCATAATTCTACGGGGACAGTATAGAGGTGGCCGTCCAGGGCAGGTTCAACTGTACGTTATTTTTAACAAGGGAGTGTATACGGACCCGGTAACCGGGAACAAAGTCACAAAGTATGCAGACCCGGTAGGGGAACTCTTTTGTGATTTCGGAGAGTTTCAGCGCCCTCTTGGCTCAGGGTAGACCTAGGTTCTTCTAAATCTATGGTCTAGATCTAGATCTAAGCAGACAGACATAAATCTTTCCTCTAGTTTCGCGGCTAACCTAGATCTAAATGAATATTGCGGATGTCTTTTCGATTAACGATGGTTTTTCCTCCGTTTTGGAGTTGGAGGAATCACAATTTGAAGAAAAGAACAAGTTACAATGTCATAATTTCAATCGAGCAGTCCCCCCCCCCTCTCTCTCTCTCTCTCTCTCTCTCTCTCTCTCTCTCTCTCTCTCTCTCTCTCTCTCTCTCTCTCTCTCTCTCCTCTGTGTACCGCTCGCCTTCTCTTTTTCTTTGTTTATCTCTGTATTTCTTTGTCCCCACCTATTTCCCACTCTATCTTTCTCTCGTTCCCTCCTGCCAACTGGGGCATGTCATTTACATTTTGCTAGCACCCCCCCCCCCTTCTCTCTCTCTCTCTCTCTCTCTCTCTCTCTCTCTCTCTCTCTCTCTCTCTCTCTCTCTCTCTCTCTCTCTCTCTCTATCTCTCTCTCTCACACACACAAAAGATTTCTACCGGGTCCACAGAATTCTACACTTAGTTTAGAATTCTGTGACCGGGTCTGACGTCTGAAACTTCCCGAAATCACAAAAGAGTTCCCTTACCGGGTCTGTATACTTCGTGACTTTGTTCCCAGTTACCGGGTCTGTATACACTTCGTTTTAACAATTAGTTCCCTAGATCTCTAGATCTAGATCTAGTATACAAGTACCATCTTACAACTCAAAACTCAAAACTCTAAGACAATTCAATGAAATTATGCAATTTAGAGTCATATCTAGAGACTCTACTTAAGACTCTAGACTAGACTAGAGGCCTCTTCTAGTGACTCTAGTGCTAGGGCCTTATAAAGGGCTACTCACGCTGGTCTCACGTCGGGGTCGTCTGTCCTGGTTATGACATAAATCTAGATCTAGATCATCTGTTGCCTGTAACTTAGAAGTCAAATTTACCTTCAACCGTTGCAATAGGTGGTTGGAACAACATGAACTACCTTGGCTCGACCTCTTGCCTGTCGTCAGTTGATCTACATGATGGTTCGAAGGAATGGGGCACGAACACTTTTGGTACCTGAACGACGGTAGTGCCCTCCCCTTGTAAGCCTAGATCTTATTTGCCAAGTTGGCCCAGGCTTAGGCCTATTCTTTCCGTCACCAAAAAAGTTCCATTGGCCCAGCCTGGTCATAGATTTGTACAATAGTACCTGGCATATAAATTAGCCTATCAGTTCCTTATAACTCATAATCAATGTTAATAATTTTTTAATGATCCATACAACCGATGGTCGGCTCTTGCTCTTATCTCCATATCTCCATCAATAGACCCCCAACCACGTCAAGTGCCCCTCTCTCTCTCTCTGTCTCTCTCTCTCTGTCTCTCTCTCTCTCTCTCTCTCTCTCTCTCTCTCTCTCTCTCTCTCTCTCTCCCTCTCCCTCTCCCTCTCTCTCTCTCTCTGTCTCTCTCCCTCTCCCTCTCTCTCTCTCTCTCTCTCTCTCTCTCTCTCTCTCTCTCTCTCTCTCTCTCTCTCTCTCTCTCTCTCTCTCTCTCTCAGTAGATATTATTTCACAGAAATCTTAGAAGCCCCCCCAAAGTTAACACGCCTTCCTTTCCTTTTTGTGTACATTAATCTTCCAACGTTGTGTCAAAAATACTGCTATATTGCTGCCAAGAGTAAAAGTGTGTGATCGCATAAATTGTAGGCTACATGCTTTACCGGTACCGGTAGTAAAAATGTCCGCAGTAATTTTCAGCGAACTCCTAGGTTTGTTTATATGAGTAAAGAGAAGCATGTCAACAGGATAGGCTAGTGATCATTATAATTAGAGCAGCGGAAAGGGTAAGAGAGAAAATAAAGAAAAAGGACCAGGACTTGTCCTCCTACCACGCGCAAACTCACTGGTGAGAATCAGAAACAAAATTGAGTCGATAGTGCCGTAAAACACCTACTCAGTCAATCAACTGGTGAGAATGTCGAAAATAAATGAGTGAATAAAAAGCAGATATAAATTGTTATAACTGATATTATCAAATTTTAAGTAGGACGAAGGAATCTGGAAGGCAGACCATGCATGTCGTGCAAGACGCGGCAAGCGTAATGGTATGAGTAATAGCGAGTTGGCGCGCTTTTTCGTACGTCTTTATAAAGTTCTGCAAAATACCAGTGTACGCCACAATAATATACATGTAATTATAGTAAATGGCACGCGAGAGAAACAGACGACAATAGATCGCGTCAAGAGTTTTTAAAAACTTTCCATCATTTGTACCTATACTGCTAGTATGCTACTACAAAGCTGTGTTGAAAGCACAGACATTTGTGTGATTAATTGCTCCTTCTCTCCAATGAAACATCTTTCGTCCTTATCTCTCCTCCTTTTCTTCTCTTGTAACACATCTAATCTTTGGCGGTTGAATGACATATTAATTATTTTGTTGCAAATGCCGTAAAACTTTTACTTAAAGTTAACTATGAACAGAAACCTTGCTGACAGCAAATGTGGGCCGAGATATTGCATGATCCAGCCCATAAAAATATATCTTTCAGGGGTTTGAAGGAGAAGAGAAATTTAGAATTTTTGCAAGTGACTTATAAAACCGAAGTCAAACACTTGCCCGTCTTGAGACAAAAAGAAAAGCGTTCGATCTGAACAATAATATTACAATGTATCTAGAATGCACAGTACGCACAGGTATCGAGTAAGCGTCCCCGGCTCCTTATTCCATACCCCCCGTTTATTATTATTTTCCAGCTTGCCACCGACCGACGATCATGTGAAACATCATCTAAAATCTAGATATCTGAATGAAACGGTTTGGGTTTTTTTTGTAAATGGCAAATTACCCTCAATATTAGTACAGGTACCGGGTTGGCTACCTCAATTTTCTGTGCATTTGTAGAACTTTTGTACTTTGGTTTATACTTTTTATTGAAACTGGTTTGTTCCTAAATGGGCAAAGTTGTCACAACAACTTCCTAAAATCCCTAAAATTTCATTATCTCTTTTTTTAAATATTCACTGAAGGAGAAATAAAACAGATTTGTTCCTACTAGTTAGTACGTCAGGGGTATGAGGTTGAATATGTCACCCCCCCCCCCCCCCCCCCCACACACACACCCTTTTTTTTATCCCCCCTCTCCCCGTTTATTAATTTTGCACAATTTGTCCACCCCACCCTTTTATTCCTTACATCCCCCCCCCTTTTTTTTTTCATTCGATACCTTAGAGTAAGTACAAATAATTCAACCAGAAGGCAATACACATCGGTAGGCCAACCTTCTGTGGACATTGATGATGCCGAGTTTGACAAAGGCAATCATCCCCGACAACTTCTCTTCAAAGAACAGTGGGTGCTGAGCGGTGTCTAGTATGAACACCAAGGAATACTTCCTGGTTCATGTGATAGACAGGACCGTGGCAACCCTTTGGGACTTGATCCACATGAACTTGATTCCAGGATAAAAGCATTGTGTGCACACCATTATCGTTGAAGCCATCTGCGTCTTGCATGTACGCCTATTATTAATTGACAAAGCACTACCTCAGAATTACAAAGTTCCATCTGACATTTTTGGCTGTTTTGGGTTACGAGGACCATGAAGTCAGAAACCAAATGTTCTATCTGCTCTACCAAAATCGCAAGATTATAATTTGGAGTCGTTATCGAGATATTCAAAGCGTTGCATTCGAAAAAGCTTGACATGTAGTGAAACTTTTTTTTAAAATGAGGTCATCAAATTTCCCGAAACTAGGCACAATGTACTTGGCAGATAGAACCTTGTAATTCTGGGGCAGCGAAAGAGGGAGGGGGCTGAACGCGTCCTGCATCGGAAAGACACGGGCTGCTTTCATTACGATCTTTGAAATGGATTTGAAGAACCAGGGGTATCTCGCTCCGAACAAAGCTACGGATTTTCAACTCAGATATAATGGAGTCAGTCTTGTTGTCTGGGCATGAGACATAGATTCTCGAACGCATCTCAAACTTGCAAAGAGGATTATCTCAGTTTTCTTGACCAAATGTCTTAGATGAGAAAGTTACTCAGGATCAGATGAACAGACAGGGTCACTAACGAAGAAGTCAGGGGTGGTTCTTTCACTGGGCAAGATCGATCATTTTTTTGTCGACATTAGACAAGAGCGTGATTACTGACAGTAATTTTCATTTATTTTTAAGTAAATAAACACTAATTAACGTTCAAAAAGCACTCGGTCGATTTGAAGGCGCTCTGAGAGACAATAGGGGCTCACTGGTGTGTTGTAGCACTATAATATTATAGACTCGTTCCTTCATCTTCGTTTATCACCCCAGCTCGTAACTTTAAATTGCCTCCCGTCCACAGTGTGTGTGTAGAATTCTGTGCTCCCGTCACGATGTGGAACTTCTCTGCTGGAGGCCCGCTCGTTGGTGCAGTCCTTCCCGGCGATCAGCTATTGCCCCAAGAGCTGGTAGAAGGCTTCTTATTGCCAATCTAGAGGGGATTTTAGCAAAGAGAGAAGCGCTTCGTTCTGCTGTCAGACTTGGACCTAAAACAACACACCCCACTCTCTTTCCCTCTCCCCTTTTCCACCTCCATCCCAGCTAAACAATAATTTCCATAATTAGTATTTAACACAGTGCCCCACATAAAAATTAGAACAGTGTTCTGAGAACTGAGGAGAGCAATGAAGAGAAGAACTTTTGAATATGACCGGAAATTGCTGTGTACTAGTTCTAAATCTGTTCAATGTGGGTGTGGTGTTTAGTGCAGTGTACAGTATAATCTGGTTCTACACTTGATCTGCAAGGGACAGAGTCATTGGAAATGTGTCAGTAAACAGCACACCGGTTTAATATTTTTTACATGTCGAGTGCAGGTCGAGACTTTGAATGTGTGTGTGTAGAAAGTAAGTCTTTGGGTAGCGTACAGGGGACTGGGTGGTTGCTTCTCACTTTTTTTTTCTAGTATACCGCAGTAGTATTTCTTGTTCCTTGCCGATCAAGTCAGTTTCTATCCATATTTCAGGGGCTTCAAACAATGTCTTGAAACTCAGATTTACATTTAAAAATCTGTTACGGTGTGGATTGTTTTTCTATTAAATCATAAATCCTTTTCATACATCACCAACCCCCTTTCTCTCTCTCTCTCTCTCTCTCTCTCTCTCTCTCTCTCTCTCTCTCTCTCTCTTGTTTTGTGCCGATTAAGTCAGCTTCTATCC